GTGACGCTGAGCAGCTTGGGGTAATAGATTACGTCGAGCGGGTGGTTGTCCAGCGTGAGGATGGACGCGGGGGCAGAGTTGGTGGAGAAGTTGAATTGCAACCAACTTCTGGTAGTTGATAGTGACCTGATTTGTGGTGGTCCAGGAGAGGAGGTTGTCGAGGGTGGATGGCGGAATGGTCAGGGAAGGAATTGTCAATGAAGGAGACGATGGTCGAGTCATCCACTCCTTCCAGGAGCGCGTCGTTAATTATGACGAGGAAACACGGGGGGGGGGGGGGGCATTCTAGTTCCCTGGGGTACTCTGCACGTGAGTGACAGGGGGCTGGAAACTTGACCCTGCATGTGCACGGCCTGTTGCCTGTTAGAGAGAAAATCTGCCAGCCAGGGGATGATGCACTTCCTGATGCCCGTGGAAGCATCTGCTTTTGAGATGACCATGGTGTGGTCCACCAGGTCGAAGGCTTCCTAGAAATCTATGAAGATGCTGGTGACGGAGGATTTGCGCTTGTCGAGATGGGCAAGTATGAAGTCGAAGAAGCTGACGAGGCAGTGTGTGGTAGAAGAAGAGCGCATGTTGCCAAACTGCCGACTGTCAACGCTGGGCGCGAGGTCTTGGTAAACCCAATCGGCGACAAAGCTTTCACACAGTAGGCTGGGCAACGGAGTAATGGCGATGGGTTGCAGTTCGCAAGGCTGCACAGCTCCCGAACTTTCCCGTACCATTGGCTTGGGCTGCAGGTGTTGTAGTTTATTATGGTAGAAGGTCTTCTTGGCTGTTTTTATTTCCCTGATGACTGTGTTGCGGAGTGATTTGTAGGAGGTGATGATGTGCAAGCAGTTCATTGCACTTGCTTTCTGCAGCCACGTTCCATGGGCGAAGAACTGGATTTGCCTTATGATGAACAAGGAAAGAAGAGAGAATGCCGCTCCATAATTGCAGCAAAGGTATTGGTCGGGTCTTCCTCCTTTAAAGGAAATTTAGAGGAAAAGACAAGTATTATTAGTGCACCATAGACTAGGCAAGTTAGCCATATCCGATGACGCGTTGACTTTGATAATGTCTGTGAAACTCAAGTGTGTCTTGGGTTTCTGTGTTGCCGCGCTCCTTGCTATCGAGGTGACCCTCGTAAGCACCTACTGGCAGCGCGACAGCGACCCGCGCCTTGGATTCGCTGGCCTCGCGAGTGACCGGGGAAATGGCGCCGCTGACAGCGCCAGGAGAGTGAGCGAGTGTCGGTCGATGTTCGAAATGAACAGCGACGAGAAGAGGGTTTCCCGTGACACCGACCACTACGAGGACCTGAGTGTCATGTTGCCCTTTCACCCTCGCCATCGTGGGGCCTCGCAGTCTCCTTCAGGGACGCTGGAGCCACGGGCCCTTAGCGCGGAGGGCCCGGGTCCCCGTCCATCCCCGACAGGAGGAAGGCTCCCCTACCTTCCGTGCCAGCTGCAGGAGTACGGGCCCGAGCTCACCCTTGACTGCATGAGGGCAAGGCTTGGCCAGGGCAGGAAGCTGTGGATCTTGTTTGCCGGAGATTCGAAGATTCGCAACACCTTCCTGTCGTTCCTCAACCTCACCAGAGCCATGGAATACAACGTCTCGTTCCTGGTAATCTCATTTTTTTTTTCATTTGAGCAAATGTTAAAAGTTTATACAAATCGACTGTCTTCCTTGTACACAGTC